ATGTTTAAGTCCACGGAGTTGCAGAAGATTTTACTGCTTGAGGAAATTACATCAGTTGATCACCTCGATTCACAAGAGGAATCTCTTACTCTCATTTCGTTGCTCTCTCTTCTTCTCTCTATGTTTTTCTCTCTATACACCGAGATACATCGAATAAACTCTACATCGAGATACACTGAAGAAGACAAACTTACAAGAGAAATAAAAATCAATTTCTCTACTGCCACAAGTCACCAAGAAGAAGCCAAGAGAGAACAATCTTCTTCTTTCTTTCTTTTTCTTCCTTCTGCCGTAAGGAACTACCGCGGGAACTTCTCTTCATCTGCTCCAAGGAAACCTTTCTCTATCTCGAGGAAACCGAAGAAGAACTCAAACCGTGACTTCTAAACCCAAGGAGAGCCATCCGAAGCTTTTATAACGAACATGAAGGAATGAAGGGATGCTTCGCTTCGCAACAGAGGAAGGTGGGAGAGGTTGGAGCCTACGGTTCGTGAATCGACGACATACGGGAACGATCACGACTGTTTCGCGATCGAAGCGGGAGCGCGGAGCGGGAGAACGCGATGTTTCACGATCGGGTGAGCGGAAGCGGGTGTCGGATCAGGCTCCACTTCTAGCAATATAAAAGACATATATTATAGAAGATGATGAGGATGGGCTAGCAACAGTTAGTGCTGGCCTTCATGGCCATAATGGCAATAATAAACATCTACTGTTGCAATTTTTTAAAAATGTGATTATAAGGAAAATAACTTTGAAAATTATGATGAGAGTTATAAATATTTATTTTATTTTCAAAATATAAGACAATATCTTTCTTATATCACCGAACTTTGAGAGTTCTTACTGCAGAAAATAAATCCTCCCCATAAAAATTTTAGAAATCAGCAATGAAGTAGATCCCAAAACAAATTATAGTTGCGATGGAAAACAAACATTAAACTTTTTCCAAACATACCCATGTGATGAGGTAATCATCAATAATGACCAACAATTAACAGTTAGCATTGTCCCTACCCTTCCTTAATTTTTCTCTTATCTTACTTGAATCCCTCAATTTTCCCCATACACTTGAGGTTGGATTTACCAAACAACCTTTCGAGGTAACATATATTTAATTCATACTTAGAGGCCGATCAGATCTTAAATGGTTGTGAGATTTAGCTCATGTCCCACTCAAATCTCATAATCATCACACAGCACCAAAAATGCTTTTTGTAACTAGTTTATTTGGAAATGTAATTTGGGTCTTCTTTTCATGTGAACTAATGAAAAGGAAATAGTATGGTACTTTTACTCGAACGTTTTGTCCCTATTGTTGAATCTTTTTAGGACACAATGTCTCATATTATTTGTGAGTACATACAATCTGACGAAAAGACTTTGTATCATAGAGAAAGTGAAAAAGAGAGATGGAAGCTCAAAGAAAGTCTTGAGAAATATATTAATTTGATATCTTTGGTAATTCGATAAGAGGCGGCTCCTCAAGATTCCTCGAGTTACAGGATTTCTTTAAGTGGGAGAGAGATAAATGGCCCAGTCAAGATCCCCTTCCCTCCTTTTTATCTTCCCTTTGATACATGCAAGAGAACCCCTCTAAAATAATCAGTGACATAAATCTTTGTATTAACTTGATGCTTTTATATGGTGTCCTCTTAAAAAGATTGTGAAACCGATGCTATGTATTGCAGGCTAATATTAGATATTGTAGGTGCGACAGTCATCTTCGATATCTGAGTGAAAGAAACGAATCCACAATGTCGGGCAACATCTTTAATAAGTGATAAACGGGTGTCCCTATTGATTGTGATGGCTTCCTCAAATTGCAACAATCGTGTAGAGGGGTTGAATTGCTTCTCGTGGAATGCGAGGATGATTGTACCAGTTATTTGGATGTGTGGACTCGATTCAACCACTTTGTTACGTGGGCTCGATTAAGCCACTTTGTCAAGTGAGCTCGATTCATCCAAAGGTTCTTTTTGGCGAAAATTCCCGTATACGCATATTTGCGTATACTATATATCCAAATTATGATTGAATAATATATTGAAAATTGTGGTCTAAATTGATTTTCTGAGAAGTTTGCTGATCAAATTGGTCAAACCATCACAATCTCCCAAGAGAGTTCTGCTTTTTTACTTCATATTAACCAATATGGTTTGATTAAATCAAATCTTACTCAAATATTATGGCTACATTTTTTCTAATTATTATAATAAAATTTAAGACCATCGCAAGAAAAAAAAAATCATATTTGGCATGTTAATATACTTCTATTGTATTAATTCAAGTAATTTAAAATAGAAAATTGAATGAAAATATTTTCTTAAATCATGTCAGATTTGTTCAAATCAATGGGGCCAAGCAGTTTCGCCAAATAAGGTCTAACTTGAACAAGTTATTTCTATAGTAGTTTCAAAGCATTAATCAATTCATGAATGACTTCTACTTTGAGCAAACTGTTAAAATAGTCCCAATTATTTATATAAAATCATTTTAGCCAAAAAAATTTTATAAATGTCGACATTTCTATAAACTCTATGACTACAACGACCCCATATAAATAATTCGAGACTATTTTGACACGTATATTATGTTTTATATAAATTAAAATATCTTGATCAATATCATAAAATTTTGCCCATACAATGAGCCAGACATACATGATACATGCTTCCCCATAAAACCCATTTTATGAAAGCAACATATCATAAAATAAAAAAATATTTTGTACAATCCCATTGAGAACTAAACTTCTGTGAGTTAAGCTTTAAAAAATACTTTTTTCTCATCATCACCATGAGCTTTATTCCGAATATTGGAGGCCGAACAAAAAAAATTACTTAATAATCCCCAGCAAACTCTAAATGCAAATTTAGAGAAATTTTTCTTTTTTTAATTCCAATTCACAAATGTTGCCAGACTTAATCACTTGTAAAGCAATACAATGAAAATAGAAGAACACATAACCATAACTTTTTCTCTCTTAATAACTGTTGCAAGATCACTACAAACCGTTGAATCGATTACCAACAATAATTTAGATCTCCAGAACAATATCTGAAAACAGGAGAAAATGAACTGATCATTAGCAATTTTGCTTACAAATGCTGCTTCAGAAATAGAGAATAGATGTAGAAAATAATACAAATTTCTAACTATAATTCTATATTTCAGACCAAGAAGTTATGTGAGCTTACATTCTGAATCAGTTTTGACCCATTTGCAACGTTCCTCCACCTTATCTTCTTCATTGTTCTTCTGCAAATACTTCATTGTTGGGGGTCGAGATACAGTTCGGGGATGAATCTTTTTGTGAATTATTTTCTTCAAAATCTTATGAGCGCAGAATGAGCAGAAGAAACTCATTAATTGAAGTGAAAAGAAAACTTTTAAAATGGAAAAAAAAAAAAGCAATTTTGAATAAGTTCATACCTTCTTCAGTTTTGATTCAGAAATTGAGTCTCTTAAACTTGGCTGTGGTGAAAAACTGCTTCTGCTTATAAACATTTTATTGAGAAGGGAAGGGAGTGATCTTTGCCTGATCCAATTGCAATCATCAGAAAGCATGTGTTCGAATTTGTTTAAGGTGAACTTGGAATCTTCGGAATCATCTGTTGATCCCTTACAGATTTTGAGTGAAGAAATGGTGTTGTCAGCTTCCAGAGTTAAGGAAGTAATTACAGATTCATTTATTGAGTGATCAGCGCTCTGGATTTCAGCCGTTTCAGTTCCATATGTGCTTGAACTGAGCTTGAGATTTAGCAGTTTGCTTATTTCTTTCTGGAATTTGATAACTTCTTCTATGTTGAGATCTGAAATTTTGTGTGATGATTCTTGAGTTTCAGAAGAACTTTGAGCTATTTGTGAATCTTCCCCCAACTCATTGTTGCCGAATGTCCCAATTGCTAAAAATGTTTGTGGCCAGTCTTTGAATTCTTCTCTGCTGCTATTTTGCTTCCATGCATCTAAGATATATATATATATATATATATTTTGTCAGAGAACAAAAGATAATGTGGAGAAAAATTTATGTCCGAAGAACATACAAAATGAGTACAAATAAGCATATTGTAAAAGAAAAAATTGCAAAAAAAATAATAATAATAATAAAGAAGAAAAAAACAATTAATGGTATTGTACTGTGAATCAAATTACATAATCTTGTAAGTATAAAAATTATAAACAACTTTAAAGAGGAAAAAAGGGAATAACTCACAGTGAGGACTTGGGCCAACTTCAGTTCTCTTCTCATGTCTCCCATTGAACTTAATTTGAACCCAGCTGAAGATCTGCAACAGAGCTCACAGTTCATCAACAAAACCATTGTTAAAATGTAATAAATATATTTCTATAGCTTCTGATGATTCTGCCTTGTTTTCCTCACCCTCATAACTCCACCAGTGCTGCAAACTCCAATCTTCTTTATATATATAAATAGAGAGGGAGAGGGAGAGGGAGAGGGAGAGGGAGGAAAACAAGTAAACTAAACTGAAAACAGTTCCCTCGGCCTTAGAAATGGCTACCAAGTTTAAGAGAGATTGTGATGAGGAAAGCTACAGAGGATTTATTCCTAAGATAGAAAGAGATGGGAGGAATTCAGAAGAATAAATAGAATGGAGAAGAAGAACATGGCAGAGCATTCAATGGATATTTTCCAGTAGTTTCTGGACATTTTCGTATGCTCAATATCCCACGCAAAAGTTCACTCCATGCTTCTTGAACCTATCAATTTGTCACATGTGGCAAGTTTTTATTTTATTTTATTTTATTTGGCCGACTAAACTCAATTATGCGTGTGCTACAAAGAAACTAAAGATGAAGAAGGGATGCCAACGGATTAGGAAGGCGGAATAAGTTTCTTTTCTTAGAGGGTCCAAGATGGGAGGGACTAGGTTAATGAGAAGTGAAAAGATATGACAAAACTTAATTTTATTGATGAAAAGAGGAGTATAAATATATATTACCAGACTTACTGGTAAGGAAAGTAATAAAAACAGAATACAGTAAAATAGAAAAGGAATAATAATAAAATATAAGAGGCAGCTAATCTTTCTTATTTAAGGAGAAAAATAAATAGAGATTCACAAGATCTCTCATATAATTTATAACCCTCTAAACATAAAGTTATAACTAATATGAAATATAATAATTAGTATTTTTGAGATCTTTCAACACTCCCCATCAAGTTGGGTTGTACAGATTGTACATGTCTAACTTGTTACATAAATCTTCAAAGTTGATTCTTGGGAGAGGCTTAGTGAGGATATCTGTTGTTTGATGTCGGGAAGGAATGCATGCAAGTTTGGCGACTCCTCTCTCAATATTTTCTGAGATGAAGTATCGATCGTTCTCGATTTGTTCTGTTCTGTCATGGTGTACTGGATTCTTTGCAATGCTGATGGTTGTCTGGTTGTCGCATTGTAGTTTGATAGTTTTTTCAGGTAGCATTTCGAGTTCGCTCAGTATTCTTCGAATCCACATTGAGGATGATATCGTCGACGTATACTATTAGAATTACAATCTATTTTTGGGAGAGATTTTTACAAAGAGAGTGTGATCTGTCTGACATTGAGTATACCCATATTTTGTCACTGATTTTGCAAATCTATCGAAGCATGCTTGAGGAGATTGTTTGAGGTTGTACAATGTCTTTTGGAGTTTGCAGACTTTGTTATTTGGAAAGGATGCTTCTAGTCCGGGAGGTGCTTCCATGTAAACTTTTTCTTCCAAATCGCCATTTAGGAAAGCATTTTCACATCGAGTTGATGTAGCTGCCAGTCTTCATTTGCCGCAAGTGAGAGAAGGATTCTGATGGTGTTAAGTTTGGCCACAGGGGCAAATATTTCTTGGTAATCAATACCGTAGGACTGTGAAAAACATTTTGCTACGAGACGTGCTTTTAATTTCTCAATTGTACCATCTGCCTTGTATTTGACTTTGAAGATCCATTTGCAGTTGATTGCTTTCTTTCCCTTTGGCAGGTCTGAAACAATACAATCCTGAAACAATCCATGTACCATTCTTTTGTAGGGCTCTTACATCCTCATTGATGGCCGCTTTCTACTCCGGGTGTTTGAGAGCTTCATCAATCGTGTTTGAGACTTGTGTATTGTCGAATGCGGTGACATAGGCTAGGTAAGCTGAAGATAGTCTTTCATAGGACACAAAGTTGGAAATCAGATGCATCGTGTGTTAGTACCTAAGTGGAGAACAGATGGACTTAACACATTTCCTTAAAGCAATCGGAATGTCAGAGTCATAAAAAATAAGTATAGTAGATTCATACTCAAGTGTCTTCGTACCTGAGTGGATTTCTGTAGGAGTTGGATCTGGTTCTGACTCTTGGATTGGTGATGGATGTGTTGGGTGATCTATGTGCGAGTTGGACACTTAAGAACTAGACAGAGACTGATTTTTAGGTATATTTTCACATGAGTTGGATGAACTTGCTGAATCTGAGTAGGGAGATAATGAGTTCGGTTCAAGAGACAAGGATTTGATGTGTGGTGGTATGAACTTGTTGTCCCCCCAAGACTAATATTCCCTTAAAGTCTCCTCCTGAATATTAGAATTGGGGTAATAATGTTGATTTTCAAAGAAGATGACATCCATAGTATTGTAGATTTTTCTTGTGAGAGGAGAGTAGCACTTATAAACTTTTTCATGAGGCGAGTAGCCGAGGAAAATACATTTAGTAGATTTGGGGTCAAGTTTGTTGTGATTGTATGAATGAATGTGAACAAAGAAAGAACAACAAAATACTTTGGTAGGTAGATTTTTGGTATTTGCCTTGGTGTGGGGAAATGATTTGAGAAGGAGTTGGACTGGACATTGAAATTTGAGGACCCGAATTTGAATTGAAATTTGAGGACCCGAGAAGGCATCCTGTTGATGAGGTAGGCTGTAGTAGATACAACGTCACCCCAAAAAACCTTAGGCACGTTAGGAAAACATGAGGCAGCAGGCCGTCTTGAGAAGGTGGCGGTTCTTGCGTTCGGCGATTTCATTTTATTGAGGAGTGTCAATGCAAGAACTGAGATGGAGGATGCCTTTAAAGGATAGATAAGAGCGAGGACGGAAGCGAAGTACTCCTTTATATTATCAGTCTTGAGTGTCTGGATGGAGGTTTGGAATTGTGTTATGATCATTGAGTAAAATTGTTCAAATATGTGACTGACTGCAAATTTTTCTTTCATAAGAAATAGCCATGTTAGTCGAGTGTGATCATCAATAAATGAGATAAACCACCGAGTCCCGGTAAGGTTTGTAATACGGGATGAGCCCCATATATCGCTGTGAATGAGTGCAAAGGGCCGGGAAGAGGTGTAACCAATAAGTGGAAATGATGTGCGAGTGTGTTTGGCAAGTTGACAAAATTCACATTGAAAAGAACGAACATCTTTATTGATAAATAAATTTAAAAATAATTTTGCAAGATACATAAAATTTTGATGGCCGAGACAAAAATGTCATTACATGATCTCGAAATCTTTATTGACACTAGAATTGAAGACAGAATAATGGCTAGATAAATGTCCGCAGTGAGGTCGTGGTGGTAAAGTACAGTTGATGACGTAAAGACCCGAGCACATCTCAACATTGCCAATCATCGTCCCAAGTCCACATCCTTAAATTCACACATGGTAGGGAAAAATTTAGCAATACACCTCAGATCACTAGTCAATTTTCTGATTGATATTAAATTGCAATTTAAAGTAGGAACATGAAACACATATCGGAGTAGAATGTTTTGGGTGATACGCACGGAGCCAAAGCCGGTGACTTTGGAGACAGAGCCATCAGCAACGCGGATGGTGGAGTTGTCTCCACACGACATATAGTCATGGAGAAGAGAGGCATCGTCAGTCAAGTGATGAGGAGCGTCGGAATCGATGATCCACTGACAGAGGGATCATTGATTGACTGTGAAGGCATGGTACAACGTGCCTTGACGCGCGAGTAGGCTGGTGATGGGGTTAGGAACAACCAGATCATGTGGTTTGTCGATCAGTTTGTGCAGCAAATCTAGTTGCTCTTTGCTGAATGGACTGAGCGCTAGTGCAGGATGGTCATTGGCAGCGACGAGACTGTTGGCACGGGAAGCGCGATCAGACCGAGGCTTCCAATCGGCTGGCTTTCCATGAAGCACCCAACATGTGTCTTTCTTATGGCCTGGTTTGCGACAATGGTCACACCAGGGACGACCTTTGTGTGATGGGTTGTCGCTGTGTCGAGGTGGAGGAACCCGAGCTGCAAGGGCAGAGGCGTCAACAGAGAGATTAGAAGAGGTGGAGATAGGCCCAAGCATGACTTTCTAGCGGCTTTCTTCACGGCGAACCTCGGAGAAGGCCTCGAGAATGCTCGGTAGTGGTTTGAAGCTTAATACACGAGACCGGACATGATCGAGAGAGTTGCTGAGGCCGAGAAGAAATTTGAATATCTTTTTTTGCTCGATGATCTGACGGTATAAGTTAGAGTCTGGAGTGCATGACCATACATGGACTTCATACATGTCAACCAGTTGCCAGTAACGTGAGAGGACATTCAAATACTGAGTCACAGATTGATCACCTTGGCAAAGATCATGGAGGATTGACTCGATCTCGAAGAGCTTGGTTGTGTTATCTGAGTGAGAGTATGTCTATTGAGCATCATCCCAAATAATCTTGGTTGTGTCATAGAGAAGAAAATTTTCGCTGATGTCGTTGGTCATGGAATTGATTAACCACGACATAACCATGTGGTTTTTTGCATTCCATGTCTAGAATTTTGGGTCATCCTTGGTTAGAGTGAAGACATCACTGGTGATATAGTCGTTCTTGCCTCTGTCCCAGATAAACATCATGACAAATTGGTACCATTTGAGGTAGTTCTGGTCGTTGAGTTTGTGGCCAGTGATGAGGGAGGAAGTGTCATCGATTCCGGTTGGAACAGGGGCAGATGAGGCGGATGATATTTCTTGGGAGGATGAAGAAGAAGTCGCCATACCGATGAAGATTGGTATGACTCTGATATCATGAAAATATATGAGAAGACTTAATTTTATTGATGAAAAGAATGATATAAATACTCATTACAAGACTTACTGGTAAGGAAAACAATAAAAACTGAATACAATAGAAAAGGAAAGAAATAATAACAAAATATATGAGACAGCTAATCTCTCTAATTTAAGGAGAGAAATAAATAGAGATTTTCAATATTAGAGATTTTCAATGAGATTTTCAATATCCCTCATATAATTTATAACTCTCTAAATATAGAGTTATAACCAATATGGAATATAATAATTACTATTTTTGAAATCTTTCAACAAAAGGCAAAGTGATATTTCAAAAGGGGCGAAAGCAAGTAAAAATATGAATTTGAGAGGGGTGGAAGAGTGCAGGGGCAATTGAACCTACATTTGATTAACAACTAGTAGCTCAAAATGAAACAAACACACACACACATACATATATATTATAATAAAAGATAGATTGATTATTTGGCTTTATGCGACATCTTAATATTTGTATGAAATTAATATTATCTAGAGACAATATATCAATTTTATTTTAATGAAGTTTAAATACGGTCATGGTGCACAATCTAAGAGGTTGATTTTCATTCATTTTATTCACATTCCATCTAGAGTAAAAAATAAGGCTTTCTAGCTTTCCCGAGAACGCCTCTTTGGACGTAAACCCGTATTTGCAATTCAATGAATTTAGGCACGCTTCAGATTATATTTCTTCAACGATTGATTTAACAAGAGAACTAGGCTTGATGAATTCATTTTTCATCTAATATTATTTCCATCAATTATACTCTTAATTTCAAGCAAATTTTTATATATATATAGTATATTCTATTTTATACGATTTATATTTCACATTTAATATATGTAAATAATATGTAATAATTCTATATTCTTATGATTTTCAAAACGCATAAGCTAAAAAAACACAATTTATCCTAACAGGTCAGGTGTGTTTTCAAAACTCCACCTCACCAAATAAGTTGTCCTAAACATACCCTAAATTATGTTCAGATGTCGGCAACTTTGAGGTTAATATCAGATCTTCGTTGACTCCGATTGGGCCGAATATCATAGCAGAAAGTGTTGAAGTTACCAGTTCTTCTAATTGAGCTTCACTGACTTCAAACCACATCAAATTTCTTCATTTCGTCCATCTTCTTTAACTTACAAACAGAATTATCTACATAACGTTGAAAGCAAATGCCTTAGCGAAGAAGACAGCAATTTATCTTATGATTCGAACTGCTTTGCAATGGCGTCTGATTCTGAGATTGCTTCAGTAAACACAAAGTCTGCGCTTGGCAGTTAGGGGGATGCGTCAGACTTGACATCTACAGAAATAGATTTCTACTCTCATGTGTCGTTTTATATGCATAATTGGTTCGGTTTTGTCTTTTTTTTTTGTAGTCTGTTAATTTACAATTATTATTAGCTGCTTAAAAATCTTTTCAGTTATTTGCCGCATCACTCATCTCAGTGTAAATGAACAAATCAACTTTTGCATTGTGTGCCATGCAAGGATTAAATGGCTACCCAACTGACTAAATCGGTTCAAATCTATGTGTATTGAGATATTACATTGTTTTCTTCATTTTCGTCTGTTAGGATAATGATAAATCTTGAAACAAAGAATTATATGTAAATAATTACAATGAGGATTTCAAATCAAGGCTCAGATTTACAATGTTTGGTGAGATTTAGCCATGCCTATAGCTATATAGATTAAATATTTTGCCAAGTTTTAAAACAGATATAGCATTTAGTTTGTGTTAACGATTGAGAAGAAACCGACTCATTTATTGTAAAGATAGGAATTGAACCCAAAAAATAGGTGTCATGATGTTTCTTATTCATTCCTCTTTTTTTTATCAAGGTTGTGAAAATCAGACCAGTCATTGTACAAGAGAAATCCAGTGTCTTTGGTTCTGCTTTATGTGAACCATCATTTTTCCTTTGATATAGTGAATTCTTCTTCTATGAACATTATTTTTTCATCGTGTGTTTAATGTAAAATTATGTTTTTATTTTATTTATTTCATTTTTCATCGCATTGGTTTTATAACAATCTGTCCAAACATAGAGCTAAACTATTTACTAGAAGTCGTGATGATCCAGATCAAGCACATCTAAATGAGAAGCACAGTGACTAAAGGTGTGTTTGTTTTAGCTATCACTGCACGAAATCTCAGTTATGTAATCGTTGTAGAAAATCTGCTATACAGAAGCTCAGTAACAATTGATCTATTTGAAAAATACAGTTTAAAAGTGTTTTCTATAGACACATATCTGAAATGCCCCTTTGCACTTGTTGTATAAATTCACAATTTTTAAATATATAGGAATTAGGTTGCATGTGTACAACAAAAAAAAAATATTACAAATATAATAAAACCTATTTATTAATGTTATATTTTATTTTAGGGGAATTTACATACATATCACCAAATTCTTATGCATTTAATTATCTCACATCCAAACTTCAATTTTTTACATCTAAAGCACTTTACCTATGTATATACTGCAATCCCTCTTTTCATACATCTTTTCATATATAGGAAAGAAAAGATGCTTGGCTCCTAAAAATTAAAGTTTGGGTATGGGATAAGCAAATTTATAAGAATTAGGTGCTATGTATGTAATTTTATGTTATTTTATTTTATTTTTAATTATATGCATATATTATGTTTAAGTATGCATTTGCTTTTTTTACTTTATATTATAATAATAATAAATAATCCATTTTTATATTTGTAATTACATTTCATATCTTTAGTATTTATTTTTATATGCATAGTTATTTCTTAAGAATATAAAAATAGATTATAGTTATAATAAAATAATCTATTTTTATATTATTAATCATTTGATACTCGGCAAGCCAAGCATCAACGCGGGTAAAACAGAGAGCTTATTTGATGCGGTGACGTTTTGAAAACACATCAAATTTATTTGGATAAATTTTGTTTTGACAACTTATGCGTTTTTGAAACACTAAAAACAGTTTTTTCATACCGCATCTATCTAGGTAGCGGTGACAGCTTTCTGGCTGCGGTCCGACTTTTCAAAAAAAAAAAATTGTAATAGTCATTGCACCTAGCTTATTAATAGATTATTTTTAATCAACTTATCAGCATATTATTAAATAAGCTGCAACTGCCCCAAACAAACTCTAAATCATGAACGCAGGAAGCAGGTTGGCAGCCCGCTGCCGTGGTCAGAACCGTCGGTAAAATTTTTGCCACTGGTTTGTAACGCAGTCATGGGAAACACAACCAAACACGAGATTTCGGAACTCGGTTCCAAAATTTGGGTGAAAATCAGGAACAAAAGCACCCTTAGGGCCTGTTTGGAGCAGTTTATAGTGGCAGTGTCAGTTGTCCATATGATCATGAACTTTCCAACTCTAAATGAAACCACAGTAATTTGCCGGAAACTTGCTGAATCCGAGAAATACTTCTTAAATTCAATCCACTATTCTCATAGTTGATGGGAAGAACCAATCTTACTTCCTATCTATTGAAAAGTTAGTACAATTCTCTAATACAAAATTTGTTGGAATTAGCAGAAACTTTCAAATTTATACACAATGAGAAAGCTTTCTTTGAATGGAATCAATCACTCTTCTCTGTAATTAACTCGATGTATTTGCACGGGAACTATTTAAAATGCATGGAATGGACCAAACACATTCATCTTAGAGGCAAAGGCATCAAGCCCAAAAAGGAAAAAAAAGAGACATTTAAAAAGCTATCAAGAGAAGATCAATCGACTTTAAAAAAGCTATCCCAAATGTTCATTCAATGCATATAATTTTACAACCAGAATTACTACAATATTGCAAAAAAAATGCAAAAAATTTTCATCAAAATATTTATAATATTCACAATCGACTTCCAAAAAATATTTTTACCGCAATAATCTTACAACTATTTTACAAACAATTACAGTCCCCCTCACACATACTTATCAAAGAGCTTAGGCCATAAAAGAAACAAACATAACAATAGTACATTTAATATACAAACTACCCTAAGGGACAATTACATACAGATCAACCCAAACTTGCTATTTACAGATCAACCACCCTCTTTCATCTATTTTTCATATTCTCACTCAAATATCAAAATTCTCAATAGTTTGATCGTGGCACCCCTAAATTTAAATACATCGATTCGGTAGTTCAGAAAAATGACTTTGGTGGCTTAAGTTGTAAATATGGGTATTTCGGGTAATCTGAATGTAACAATCATCCCTACAACAAAACAAAACTCATATAGAAATGCTATTGGGCACTCCCCTAGCGGTGACCCCCGGCCCAGAACTAGGCACAAGCAACTCATAACCCAGCACACCAGCTCCACACCTGTTCCTCTTCTCCGAATCCCAATTCCTCCTCCCAATCTCCTCCTCAATCCTCCCCATCTCCGCCGAAAACTCCTCATACCCTTCCAAAACCTCCTCCTCCGCCGTCCACGCCGCCTCCCTCCTCTGCCCCAAATACTCCTCATCCGGCGAATGCGTCGACAATGTATCCACCACCGCCATAAACTTCGTCGTCTGCAGAACACTGGGCATTGCCGACAAAAAATATCGGTGCGGATCGGCGACAAAGGCGGCATCTTTATCGTCGGGAAGAAGGCGGCGCATCAGTGGAGGGCGGTTTGGAACGTAGCCGCCCAGAGGGTATTGGCCAAAGTTAAGAGCGGCGTGTTGGGCAGAGGAGATCCAGATGAGGGTGGTGAGGATGGAGGAGAGATGGGTGGGGGTGGAGAGTGAGGGCCACCAAGTGGAGTGGCGGAGATCAGCGTGGCCGGAATTGATGGATTCGGAGTACCAGGATTGGAGTTCGGTGTCGGAAAGAATGGAGGAAGTGTTGGGGTAGTAATGGTTGGTGTAGTGATTGACCCAACATTCGATGGCGGACCAGATGAGAAGACCGTCTTCGGCATAGGGGTAGTCGGAGATGAGGAGACGGAGGGAGTGCGGCTGCGATGGGTCTTCCACGGCGACGCCCCTGCATTTTGGGAAATTTTTTTGAAGACAAAAGTAGGAAATCTGTGTAAAGGTTTAATATTATAAATAATAAATTTAAGGAAGATTTTCATATGTAACAATGATTTCTTAATTACAAAAAATATTTAATTTTGAATATTTAAATTTATTTATAGAAAATTATAAAATCAAAATGATATCAAATTTTAGATATAAGAAGGCATTTTGATTTATAGAAATTAATGTTAGTAGCATGTATATATCATAACCCTATTTTGACTTAAAAATCTGATATGCTTGAGAACAATTGGATTTCCCTGCAGATTTCTATACATGAATAATCTAACAGAACAAAAATCTAACAATAAGTAGTATGATAGGACATTCATATAGTACTATTCTCAAAATAAATCTAACAGATTTTATGCCCATATTTATGTCATTTATATCAAAATGTCCTACCATAATTTTTATTCCTTATATACTATTGCAATTGACATAAAAAAGTAAAAGAGCATTTAGATACATGTCACATAATTCCTATATATATATTTATGTATCCAAAACTTATATTTCAATTCTAACATTTATAAAACTCAAAATTTTCATATTTCTCAAAAATTAAAGTTGTGCCTTGAATATTTACGGCGATAGTGATAATTTGATATCTTAGCATTGTACGAAAATTCAGTAGACACGCACAAATAATATAAAAATAGGAAGATGAGACACCAAAATTTTTTTACATGAAAAAAACCTAAAGAGAAAAAATCACAAGATCTGGTTCAGTAAAAATAGTTTGTTATGTGATTGTAAATACATATATATCCACTCCTCTCTTGAATTTCAGAAGATGGAAGTACAATGTTAATAATTACAACTTTATAGTAGTAGTTCAATTTAAATAATCGTAATCGGGATGTAATAAATATAGTTTTTTGGCGATAATAGCGATGGTGTGTTGTAAAGGTTGTAGTTGATTGCTACAATGGTCGTGGTCTGCCAAAAATATTGTTGACGATGCTTGTAATAACATTAGCTTTTTATAGAGGCCGTAGCAGTAGTTGGTCTTATATGTTGTAGTAGGTGGATGTCAGAGCATTAGTTACAGTGGCCATAGTGGAGGGTTGTGTGATAGCAGTTGGTTACGTAAGCTAAAGCAGGGAGCTACAATAACGTTAATTGGGATACAAAGGACATAAGGGAGGGCTATGATGATATTAGTTTTCCATGTAGGTCATAGTAATGAGCTACAATAGCTCCAAATAGGTACAAAAGTCATAATAACAATAGCAGTTGGCCATGTAAGTTATAGTAAGGAGCTGCAATGGCATCAGTTGGCCACAAAGGTCGTAGTGGATGGTTGTGATGACAATAGTTTGCCACGTAGGCCGTAGTGTGGAGCTGTAGTAGTGTCGGTTGGCCACCAAGGCCATAATGAGGAGCTCAATAGAAAGTAGCCACATTAGTTGTAGTGGAAGCTTGTAATGACAACATTAGACTATGCAAGTCGTAGTGAGGAGCTATTATAGTGTTGATTGGCCACCAAGGTCGTAGTTGGAAGCTATAGTAGCATCGGTTGACCCCCAAAGCCGTAGTGAGGAGTTGTAGTAGCCAATAACCAAATGTCATAGTGGAAGGTTGTAATGATAGCATTTGATGACGTAGGCCACAGTAGGGAGTTATGGTGTTGTCGGATGGCCACCAAGACCATGGTGAAGAACAATGAAAAACTATAGTAGCGATTAGCCACATAAGTCATAATGAAATACTATAATGACAAGATTTAACCACGGAGGTCATAGTGGAAAGCTACAGTAGTAATTAGCCACATAGGCCATAGAGGGACGCTGCAAGAGCATCAGTTGGTCATGAAGTGACATAGTTGTGCTACATCAACTGGTGACAATATTAGACCAAATAAGTTGTAGTAAAGAGCTATTCAATGTCGGTTGGCCACCAAGGCCGTAGTGGTGAGTTATAGTAGCATCGGTTGGCCACTAAGGCCGTAGTGAGTTGTAGTAGCAACTAACCACATATGTTATAGTAGAATGTTGTAATGATAGTATTTGATGAACTAGCCGTAGAAGGGAGTTATGACATTGTCGGTTGGTCACCAACGCCGTAATGAAGAGTAGTGAAGAGCTATAGTAACAATTAGCCACATAAGTCATGGTGAAAGACTGTAATGATAACATTTAACCATGTAGACCATATTAAAAAGCTACGATAGTAATTAGCCACATAGGCCATAGAGGACTGTTGCGAGAGCATTAGTTGGTCATGTTGCTACACCAACTGGTGGCAGCAACACCATTTTTTTGAGATTATTATTACATTTGAGATAACTTTTTTCGATATTCAACATGAAGAGGAGACTTCAGGAGTATGTTAATTGTCAGCAGTTTTTGCTAGTAGTTAAATGTCGAATCTTCGATTCAACGTATTCATTATCCCGTATGTGAGATGCATTGTTACACCGTTTTCAGGGAAACTTTACAACATATTCAGGATGCATTGTTACTCCACAAGATCAACCAACGACGACAATCAGGGGTTAGACAGAGATCGTCAATGACCAACGGTCAGTGGTCGATGGGGGTCGGTAGCTGCGAAGGTAGGAAGTGATTGTCGAGTCTTTATTCCAGAACATCTCTGGAAATTGGCTCCTCCTCCAGGAAGGGAGTAGGGCTCTATTTGTAGATTTTGGGAGTGGTGTCATCCATAACTAATGCACGAATCTAGACCATCCAACAGATGGTTAATAGTGATTCCCTTAATCATATGAAAGAATTAAGTGGTCTTGGGTTTGTTGTGATTCATCTCATCAAGCCGCTCTGTTTGACTATAAATCTGTCGGATTTAGAATTCATTTAATTATCCAATTAACTGTTCAAAGTTTCCAAAATTAGTTTAACGGGTTTATCCGCGCTTAGTTTGACTTTGATTGGAACAATTTGGTGTTATTGAGTTCATCCCGCCGAGCCGTAAGTTTGTTGAAATAAGAGTTTTTTATAATTTTTACTTTAGATCGGAACAATTTTAACTCCCAAATACATTGAGTTTCATGTCAAACGATAAATTTATTGATGACTCATCAAATGTCATTTTAGAAAGGCAGACATATATAAAATAGTATATATATATATATAAATCAAAGTTTAGGTGATTGGTTTGTAAATGCATATGAATCGTGTTGTATTAATGTAAATCTTACAAAAGTTAAAATAGAAATATCTCAAATGTATAGAGTACCTTAATGCATGGGATACATGCACTATCACTATAGAATTTGGAATAAAATGATAACAAAAGCATAATTTGTTTCAATATTTCTTATTATTTATTATCCATATACTTTTTTTTATTTATCTGTCAAAAAAAAATTTAAATCACTAATAAAACATTAATAGAGCTGGAGAACATTACGAGCAGGGTAATCACATGTGGACACGTTAGAAAATGGAACGATTATCATGTTTAATGGTTGTATTTTTTGTGGTCTTTTGGTTGAGAAATTATTATGTGTTGTCGTCCGAGATGATGATTCATGTGAATAAAAACAAGAAAAGTTCAAAAACATGACTTACCTTCGGATAAGATCCGCCGGGAGACCTTCCTTATCGAACCGCCAATGTTGGCGGTAATAATCAGCCGAGATCTCCATACACAGAGGCCCAGGCGTAAAGCACGACTCTATAACTCCGCCGGCGTTGACCAAACTCTGTCGGGCCAGCGCGTTTATCTCAAGCGTGTACCTCATATGCGGGTGTAGCAGCCTAAAAACCGGGTGCATGCAGCTCAGCCGCCGGTGCGCCGCCAGTATAAATGGCTCCATACACGCGTGCGTCCTCAACCAATGGTTCACCAGCTGGTGCACCCCACAGTCGTTAGCGCACGCATGTGCCTTCCCCAGCTGCCACAGCCAGCTCGTCGTAGCGTCACACGGAGGCGTCAGCACGCGGCTGAACCGTTTTCCTCCGGCAGTCTCCGGAGGCAGAGCTAACTCAATCGCCACCGGCCGGAGAGTCCCCAGCGAGCTTAAGAAAAAGATGACGCGCGTCGCATAGGACTTCCGACCGTCGAGGGAGTTGATGCGGTCGACGAACGGTAGGTAGGTGTCGTGGTGGTCAATCATGAAGAGCTTCTCTTCTTCGATTGCCTTTTTTTTTTTAAAAAAAAAAGATAGAATTTAATTCACCAATAAGAAATGGCACAAAATTTAAAATTTGATTTGAAGATAGGGGTGTTTTGGGGAAATTGATTACTTGTTGAACGGACATGCCGTTGAGGTGGCCGGCAATGTGTGTTTCGGTGATGGCGGATTCCGGTGGACCGTACAGGTCGGGATCGAGCTTGCTGACCGGCGGGAAGACCTGAGGTGGTGGTGGTCGATAACGGTGGTTTTAGTAATTATGAAATGCTTAGGGTGTGATGATGTGGAAGACAGAAATTTACTTGGACACGCTCGATGTTGACCGGGTTGATTCCGGCAATGGCCTGGCGGCCGAGCTCGTCGTCGCGGAGCCACGCGAATTTGTCCTCTGCACGTGCCAGAGTGGGGCAGGGTTAACAAGATGCACGGATAATTCTTTCAAAAACAAAACAATTACTTTCCTCTGCCTCCAAAGTGTTAAATTTCTTACAAATCTAAATGTCACATTAAAAAAAGATGGGTGAATAAAGAAGTTGGGATGAAGGAAGATTACTGGAGAGAATGCTTGGAGTGTCATATCGAAGAAAGCCATGGCTGGACTGGTGGAGCTTCCGGACGAGAGGAATCTTGTGGAGAAGATGACCCTCAATGCCGAGCTTTAAGAGCAGTCCATCCTTGTAAAGATTGTCGATGTCATGAAAGCACTGGAAGTCGAGATTTTCTGCAGAGACGGAAGCTACGAGGGAAGGGACGAGGTTGTGGAGCACAGCCTTCAATCTGCCGGCTGAGAAAGTGTCCTGCTTCAGCTCCTCAAATGCTTCGTCTCGGGGGACGTACACTGGATGGGGCTTCTCAATTCTGCTCTCACATTCCAAATCTGCCATAAATTAAGCCTAATTATATTTCTTTCAACAGACCTACTATCAGAAATGTAAATCTCCACTTCAAAAAAAAAAAGTGAAATTTACATGTTTAGAACACGATTGTAATGTATATACATATAACAGATTATAGTACAAGTATAAATGACACTATTATTTTTTTTTTTTAAGTGAAATACAGTCTTCCGTGCATGCAGATATTTAAGGCACGTATATATGTAAATATGAAAGTATAGATGTGAGATGTGTAAATACATTAGATTTGTGTTCTAGAAATATAAATATCCAACAACAAAAAAAAAAATTGTTGTCCAAACTTTAAGCTCAAAATTTTACTAAAGGATTTCACAATAAATGATGGATATCAAGTAATTGTGAAAATTTCCTTTTTTTTTTAATACGGGATAGTTTTTGTATTAAATTCATTAAAAATAGTTTTTGTATTAAATTCATTAAAAATAAATTTTCACTAAATACATATAAATAATTAAAAAAAAATAGAAAAAAGCTCTTTTTAGTCTCTGTCCCGGATGACACAAACAAAAACAGTAAATATAATGAAATTATAAGAGAATAAAAATTAAAACATGATAATGACTAATGCAATATTTTTTTCCTGTCCGGCTGCTTCTAATATTTCTAACTAATAGTAAGCATTCAAAAAAAAATTTTAAAAAAAACTGAACTGTAAAATCTAGGATATTCAAATCATATCATGAATATTGTGTTGGATCATCGATGTATTAATAGTTATATAACAGAGATGCGTGGCATACAGACTGAGGTGAAAGTATGATTATGGATAAAAAAAAAATACGGCCAATAAAAGCCCAATGAAAGAAGACCAAATATCACATCACATGAATACCAAAGACTTGAATGATCGAGCACGGAAGAAACGACACAAAACCAGAAGAATAAGAACACAAAAATTTAACGAGGTTAGACGAAGATGCATACATCCTTGGGAGCAGAGCGGCAAATTTCATTATTTTGGAGTAGTTACATACTCATAGGGTTACCATCTATTTATAGATAAAACCCACAGATAATTACAAACACGCTCTTGCTCCCTCGAACCCACCAAAAGACACATCTCTTCATTCCAGAAGACACATCTCCAAAACCAAGAGACTTCAAATTCCTGGTATATGATAGCTAACATGAAGAACCTGAAATCGACCTAACGAAGGCTATCTGAGCCAAAGATCAAGATCCATCGAGCCTAGAGAAGGAATCGACCCAACTTCCTCCCTCGCGTCAACAATCGCCTCATAAGATCCATTGAGCCTCCAAGACTCTTCAAGAGGTTGAATGTTCTCGCCATGATACACTCTGTGAAGAATCCAATAGAACCTGCTGTCTAGGGGTTAGCTACCTGTCAAATTACTATGATTCACATCTACCCGATAGCCTAGTCTCATTTTGGCAACAAGAGCTCTTCATCTAAGCGTGAATAGTTAATAGCCAAATCAAAACAACTGATCGGTTGACTCAAGCAGACCAAACAAAACCCAGATGACTAAAGGTCAACCAATTCCGACCATAAGCCCTAACTCAACAAACATGGATAAAAATGTAATTATGCACACGGTATGCCCCTCTCTTATAAATAGGGGGTCATTTCTACAAGAACAATCAATCAAATAATCAATAAAAATTTTCTCATTCTACGATTCATTATTGCGCACTCTCTTTCTCTCTTTGTCCCTTTTCTCTTTCTCTTTATTATTCTATACGCTAGTCCTTTGGTATAATTCTGAAGACAAATTTGGATTCAGCAATATTAGATATATTTTACAAATCTTAGAAGACTTTAAAATATAAATCTAACAAATAAAAAAATTAATAGCAAAAATAGAGAAGTTGTAACCATCTGTTCGTCCTAAAGAGAGCGGCACCCAAAAACTAAGAGATCAATTAGCTACGACACAGTTGTTCTCGCAGCCAAAAACATTTTAAGTGAAATATGCATACAAGCCACACAATTTTTATATATTTATAATTGTAACAACTAAATTTTTTTACTTATATTATAGCACTTCGGTTTATTTTTAGTTAACTTTATAAAAAAAATACTTTTTAACATGGGCAAAACACACATAAAGGTTTATTTTTAGTTAACTTTCTAAAAAAATTACTTTTTAACATGAGCAAAACACACATAGGGCTGTAATTGAATCGAGTCGAATTCATGGATTGGACTTGGCTTTGTTAAATTTTAAGTTGTTCATGTTAAGTCAGAGCTAGAGCCTACTTTCACATGTGTTCATACTTGGCTTGCTTAAATTTTTTAATATTTATACTTAGATTTGTTTGTATTAATTGAATGAACTAAAAATTTCATATGAATACAAATTTTTTCTAATATTTATACTTGATTTGTTTATATTAATTAAGTAAACTAAAAAGTCAAACGAATACATAATTTTTTATCCAAAACAAAAAGTTCAATTTCTGCTTGATTTTTACATATAGCTAGGAAATAAGTAGCTTAAAATTCAAAAGAATACTTAAATTTTTATATAAAGTTTGTTGTGTGTCAGAAGATTTGCAAAGGTTGAGTGACAGTTTAGTTCTTTAGCGTTACACTAAAGTTTAACATGCACACTAATGTAATTGAAATAATAGATAGGCTTCAGAAATTTTTACGTGAAAAATATGAAAAGGGAAACAATCATGGGGTCTAACTTAGTTAGACCAATTCTATATAAGTTGGTGAGTACATGCTCAGGTTGTTGTCCTATAAGTGAAAAAATGTTACACAATTCCTTGAGATACAGTAGTTGTATTGCAGAAGAATTTGTTGTACTACGATCGGGAGAGGTGGCAGCTGGGAATAATTGTCAGGACTTAGGTGTACTGTCCTCAAGAAACGTCGTTACATTGTGTTCAGAATGATGCACTGCTTCTTCGGGTGCATTGTGACTCTGTGATGTTGATCTTTACTCTGCGCAGTATTTCGATACTCAAAGACATATGACGCGACTCCACAAGGGGTTTCATTGCAACGAGCACAAAGCAACCGACAGTGGATGTTTGTGCCTGGTGAGCAGTGGTTGATGGTAGTCGACAAGTGCGAGAGTGGGAAGCATATGTCAGCTCTTCAATCCATAGCGAAAATGAAACTCAGGTCGTTCTAAGCAAATCAGTTCTAGTTCCAACTCTTCCCCCAGTTTAAAGTCTTTGTTCCTCTTTATAAAAAGGGCATGCCTCTATTTATATAGTATAAGAGTGACTTCCTTGCAAATAAGAAAGGATTTGAGACTACTCTAACGGACAATCCAGAGTTGTTCACATAATAGAAAGGCGTTTTGTGATCATTTAAGTGTCTTAATAATGTCAGAATTGAGTGATATTTAACTTGTTGGACTCTTCTAATCGAGATGTTTGATTTGACTAAAGCTTGTCGGATTTGGAATCCATTTAACCTTCTAATTAGTCGTTCAAAACTTTCAAAAGTAATTTAATGACGCGATATAGGCTTGATTTAGCTTGGATTGGCTAATTTTAGTGTCATTAGGTATGTCTCGTCGAGCAGATCAGTTTGATTGTAAGTTTGCTAAAATCATAATTGTGAATGATTTTTAATTGGAGTTTGAATGTTTCTCACTTAAAAATGCTCAAATATTTGTGTTAATTGCCTCGGGATTCGAGATTCATGTCAAATGACAAAATTTGTTGATGACATATCAAAGTTGTTAACAAATCATTTTGCAAATCTCAATAAATAAACAATCGAATCAAACTAACATCCAACTAATTTATATTAAATAAATAAAATAATATATAAGTTATAAGTAATTTTTTTGGTAATCAAATAATATAAATAAGTACCAACAAATTAGTTCATTAAAATAAAAAAAATAGAAATACATTACATTAAATGCATATGCATACTAAAATTAAATTATAATGTATTATTGTTAAATTTACAAATAAATAGGTTCTAGTCAATTAAATTTTATTTAAATAATATATCATATAAACACATGATATTAAACAAAGTATTTATTAAATACAAATAAGTTTATTTGTGAACATTAATAAACAAATTAAACCATGTTCACATTTGATTCATTTAACTTTCGAGCTTTTAAAACTATATTAATTAATTTATTCAAATATGATCAAATATTAATCCAGCTGAACTTATGCGAGTTTTGAATGTGAAAATGGTTAGATATGTGAATTTATTTGTGACATAGTAGCTGAGAGTGAAGCTTTCAACGGTAAGGTCACATGCTCAAATGTTACATATTGACTGCACGACATTTCTTTTAGGTTTCAAAGAAAATTAACACAAAGGACACGAAACAAAGACAATTAACGAAATATTCCTAAAGAAAAATCCAATCTGACCAATTCTTTCATTGACTCGGCACCATATGGGATGCAATAAAAATTTAGGGACTTTGAAAAACTGGATTAGTTAAAAAAACTTACTTGTATCCGTCGGTGCCCGGCCGGTGCGGCACCGGCGAGGATACGGCATCTTCTCGCCGCCAAGGTTCGGCCTGCTGTGTTCCTTCCCCTTATCGGGATTTCCCAAATCGTTGTAAGTGGCATAATCGTAAATCCGATCGGATAGTTTCCGAACCCCATTGCCATCTCCTCTCAGCTCTATCAACTCCTTCTCCCTCAACTCCTTGAGTCCCTCCGGCGTCTCCCATGACAAATAAGCCTGCAAATCAGCAACAAGCTTGCAAATTGATGAACAATTCTTACAAAAAACAAAAAACTTCATTTTTGAAGCTCTAGATTGAAGCAAGGAAGACGGTACCTTGTTGCTGAAAAAGACGCGCTTGGAAGGGATGTCCTTCATTAACTGCACCCAAGAGTTGCAGAGGAAGTGTACGGTGCCAAAGGGGAATCCTTCAACGATGATGCTTTCTAGAAAGAACTCGCGCTGGTGTCGATTGGCCACGGTAATGGCGCCGGGCTCTCCAAAGTCTGAGTCCACCGTAAAATCCACCACGCATACCGCTCGCTCTCCTTTAGCCTTCATCTTATCGTCCCAGTCCTTGATCACTGCCTCTCCGCTCTTCTTCGGTGCCCTTGTTCCTTAGACCAGAGTATCCCCATCAGAGAAGAGAGAGAGAGAGAGAGAGAGGGAGACAAACACACACACACACACATAAGGTAAGCATCACTTACTTTTATTAATCTGTGTGCTTATCAGTTCCAAAACCACATTTTTGCCGATCTTAGGATCCAGCTGTTTGGCAACAGCGTCCAGTAAATCCTCCTTACTCTTCTTTCTCACCGTAATAACCGCTCTCACCTTGATCTTCGCCGGCTTTCCCACCACTAAACTCACCACCTCCTCCCTTAGCGTAGCCACAGGCGATCGCATGAGCCTCAACGAACGGGACAGAAACCCCCCCTGTTTCGCCGGAAACAGAATAGGAGTGGAGGAACAGAGACCGCTGCTCTGTTTCATTCCAAGCATCAAGATATTGGGATCAGGGAGCATAGAAGACCTGCGAACGAGATAAGGACCGGCGACTTGGCCGGCGATAGCCATCTTCCTTGAAACTCAGAGCTTGGTATGCAAGGAGCGGAGAAAGCCAGCGCCAATCTGTACGGCATCCGGTGGAAGTAGTACTTTATAATAAAACAGAAAAACTTGGTTTAATGTTGGGGTCAGAAGGTCGGTTGGTGGACGTGTTTGGTTCGGCTTTTGCCGTGTGCGCAAAGGGTCAAATGGTCAGAAAGTGTAATGACCATTTGGACCCCGTCATTTGCATAAAATGAAAATTATTATAATTATGCATTTATTTATTTTATTGGACCTACTAATTATGTGACACTGATACTGACAAGAGGTATAAACTATTCAGATTAGATCACTAGTAAATACTTATATATTGTCACTAAATAAGATGATTGTTATTACATGCATTAATGCGCCACTTGATAAATTTTTTTAATTTATTAAATTATTAGGAATTATAACTAAAGTAATTGATATTCATATATGTTATGGTATGGCTCATATACCATATCGGGACAGACGCTGGATCGAAGCGGAGCAGAGCGGAGCGGAAGAATCTGTCCAAATTGGGAAGTTACGTGGGTTGGGGT